CAAAATAAAAAAAAACAAAAAAAAAAAAAGGATAATTTATTTTAAAAAACTTTTCCCCCCCCCCCCCCGACCATAAACAGTGACGATTGATAATGCAAATGAAATACAAAATAAACGTAATTTATCTTAAGCTATGTCCGATTAAAATGTAAATTATTAGTGGACTCCTAGCACTCGTTATTTTTTAAATCATGTTTTTTTATTTTAATGTATTTCTCTACCATGGATTTTCCGTTTCTTATCTTATATCTGTCCTTATGCAGGAGATGGTGCATGACGCTTCAAAAATTTATGGGGTTATCCAGGAGAGGCTGCATGATGACTCGAATGTTTATGCTTCTATCCAGGAGAGGCTGCATGATGTTTCGTAAGTTAATAAAACTATCCAGAAGAGGCTACATGATGCCTCGAAACTTTATGGGGCTATGCAAGAGAGGCTGCATGATGACTCGAAAGTTTATGGGACAACATATTGTGATGTGGACGAAAACTTTAAAAAACGCCAATTTTCATATTATATTCCGAATCAAACATAATTTTGTAATATCATAACTTACATAATCACATAGAACTTGCCAAGTAAACTAATTCCAAGTTCCATAGCTGGAGAAACAGGGTTTCTTGGATCTATCAGGGACTTATCTACCTGGAGTTTATTGGGTGTGGCAGGGTGGGGAAAATCAGGGTGGGGCATTAACCCACCCCCCCCCAACCTGAATTTTCAGGCTTTATTTCAATTACTATGTAATGTGGTGTCTCCAGGAATAAAAAAATTTAAAAGCCGACAAATGTTTTGTTTTTCCATACCCCATGAAGAAAACTAAACATACGCATTTGACATGACGGTATGGACCTTATATGACGAAATCTACAAGGCCTGGGATTTTTCTTCTAGGATTAAAAGTTGGTTCCCAACAGCAAATGGCATCTCTCCAAGCCACTGCGTAACCCTAGATAACATCATGTGGATGATACACCTTGGCATCACTGACGTCGCATGAGTTGTCAGAATGTTAACTTATACCAATGTTATCTGCCTATGGGACTCCATCTCCGGGTTTGAATGCAGAGTCTCTTCTCTTAGATGAGTTGCAAGACAAGGTTAACGAACCCCATCCACCTGGGGTGCTGGTGATGTTTATGAATGACTGGACTTTTGCTGGAATTAAACTCCAGACTACAAACTTGAGATTTGCTCAGTTTAGACAACTCGGCAACCCTTGACTTATACTCACAAGGCAATAGCAGGGCGCGATTCATCGTAGCAGAACTATGTATTACGAAGTTGATAATCATTTAGAAAATAATAAGTTTTAAAAATATTGTAGAGTCGAAAAGAAAATGTCGTCAAAAATTTGGGTTATACTAGAGTGTGGGAATATTCCATGTGGCATATTCTATTTTTTCGGTGTACGAAAAATTTTTGTAATAACTTTTCTTTTAAAGAGTATTGTTGTTGGGAAAAACTATCAAAGATGTATTATAGTTTTGATACATTTAATACGTTTAATAGACTTAATACTCATTTCCATGCACGTAATTAACCATTTAAACCACCATTAATAGTCATTTTGATCAAAGCAAATGGAAACCTTACTTATGAACACGAAAAGAAAATATCATGCAAATATTGATTATGTTTTGGTGTCGAAACTTTAACGTTTTGTAAGGATTACTAAATTGTTTAATTATGATTATCCTTGTAAGAAGGATTTGATCTTTTATACATAACCATCAACCTCGGGGTGGGGGATCACTGATTGTTATTATTATACAGCGCGTTACCTATATACATGTTTTTTTTAAAATGGTAAGTCCCCCTTTCCCGCAACTTTTGTCGAAATTACATGACGATATACTTTGTTCTTAAAGGTTGTTTTATGATGCGAAACATCAATGGAAAAAAAAACAACAAATATTTACATGTATTAAGATATTTCACAAATTTGCTTAATAAAACACATTTCCAAGATATTACAATATAATTTTACAAGTATTTAAAGCATCTTAAAAAACACAAACAATTTAGAACAATGATTAATAAATAAAATCACTTTAAACATTATACACATGATAGCAATTGATACTATTCAGGACATGTATATTTTCTTTCTATTACATAATTTTATTTCCTCTTTATTATTCCGTCTATATGGATGTAATAAGGCTTTTGATAGAATCGAGTGGGGCCCTGGGTGAAATTGATTTTTGTTAAATTTTTAAATTATCTAAATACAGGGTAAAATGTACAATTATTAAAGTATTTAGTCAGATCAGCTGTTAACTTAAGACGTCTTGCAGTATTTTAGCTCTACTTATTGATATTAATATTTTAGGCACAACGAATTAATTTGTACATACTTTATTTGATTAAACGTTCGATCAATCCCGACTATCTCGATGTTGCACTCATTATATTTATATTTATAATCACTTACTCTAAAGATGTAGTTGTGTCCCCCTATAGCCAATTGGCAAATGTAGTGTGCAAATTCAATTTTTCTAAGATATATATATACATATATATATATGTATATATATATATATATATATATATATATATATATATATATATATATATATATATATAAATATATTAAATATATTATATATTTTTTTTTTTTTAAGATATATATATATATATATATATATGTATATATATATATATATATATATATATATATATATATATATATATATATATACATAAACATATTAAATATTTAATATATTTTTTTTCTTAAAATATCAAATTTTATAAAATTATAAAATTTACCATAATAAGCAACTAGTAAGTCAAGTATGAATATCAATTTCTGTACACATCAGGAATTTACGTCATGATTAAGATGCTAACAGTTGGGAGATTGACTTCCAGATGTTTCAATATCCACACTTTTAAAAGAATCATAATTTTAGTTAAAATATATTTCTTCTTCTACGTTTTGCAAAATTCGTCGAAAACTTTTTGTCTGAGCAGATTGACGATGATCTCACAACTGCTTTCTTTTCTGTGACATTTCTATCGTGCAACGATATAGTGATATCTTTGGGAATTTGATATTTTGCGCTTTTGAACTAAAGGGTAAAATGATGATATTACCTTATTATTATATAAACTTTTAAAAAAGAAAATCTTAAAATATCCCAGCTTAAATCCACGTATACGAACTTCACTTTTGTTCGTGTGTTGATTTCTGTTTTCCTGGCTAAATCTTCGAATATTCTGATTGACTAACTTCCCCGTCATTCTATAAGTGTAAAACTTTTTCAGATAGACTCGTAATCCTGTTCGACTATATCCTCTTCAGCGGCCTTAGCAGCAGGTACAGCTGAGAATCCAACAGGTGGAGCATAAGCCAAGTATGTGCCGTTTCCATTGTCGATAGCTTTAAGAGGAATAAAACACTTTAAATGGGATCGTTGACACAAAGACTTTTAAAGCTTTTAAGTAACTTATACATTAACATGTTTATGTAGAAACATCTATACATTTACAATTAAATTACTTTTGCATGATTTATCATTACAATAAACATAATGTTTATTGTTATAATATACTTTGGAAAAAAAGTTGTAGATAAAAGTACCTTTCTTGGCAAACATTAGATGAAAAAAATGTAATTAGATGAAACAAATAAATACATATTGAGGAAACAAAGAACTAATTTAGCCCACTAAATTATGTTGCACATTAAAATTTAATAAATATGTACACATATTTACGTAAATAAAATATTTACAAATATTTTTTAAAAATTAGTTCTTACGAGATAGTTCCCTTGCTAAAGTGTCGTAGATAGGTCTTCTGTAAAGTAATTAAAAAATTAAAGTTTTATAGCGTAAGCAAGCGGTAAGCAAGGTGTATTTATTTTTTAAGGAGGAATAAAAACAATATTTTGTAAATGATTTTAACATATTTTCTTTCTTAATGGTTTAAATTGAATGCTTTAAATAAATTTAATAATTATTAATGTGTTAACAAAAGTAAATAAAATAGTATTATGACTTTTTTTTTTTTTGGGAGATGTTTCATTCATATTTTACTTACCTTTTCCTAGGTAAATTCTTTTTTTCTAAAAAATTGTTAAAATGGGGGGAGGGGGGCAGAAACAAGAAAACATTGATATATTTATGTGTTTAAAGCAAAGTAGATGAATTTATTTTGATTTAAATTCAATTTTTTTTAAATTTACATTAACATGTATGGACGTTTATACATAGTATCTTTTCGTCAAGTACAACGACAGTGTTAAATTTTGAATAAAATTACGATACTGTCTCTTTTGGTGTGTTTTTCATGTACTATTTAATATAAAAGTATGTGTATATTTCAAGATTTAAAAGTTTGAAACTTAGTATGATTTTTTTTATTTTTTTTTTTTTAGGGATGCGATTCAGTGAGAGTTGTTTTTTATTTGATTATTTTTTATATTTTTTTTTATTTGTTCAAATTCAATAATAATTATTCAGACATTTTATGACGAACCTTTTCTCTTGTAAATAAAACATGTAACAATGCTGGAGGCCAACACAAGAGGGACGGAAATCAACACAGATATCAACCAATAAGGAATGGAACGATTTTGCGTATCTGGCGTGCCTGGCAGAAAATACTTTGAAATAATAAAACTTGCAATTTGCTTTGAATAATTGATATATATGACTTGAAGTTTTTATGAAAAAACTTTTAAATAAATAAATAAATGCTTTGTTTCACCCATTAAAATGGTATAGTTGAAAAGAAGGCATTTAAATCTATGAATATAAATATGGATACGATTGGTTTTACTATGATTTTAAAAAAAACAAAAACTTTTAAATAAATAAATAAATGCTTTGTTTCACCCATTAAAATGGTATAGTTGAAAAGAAGGCATTTAAATCTATGAATATAAATATGGATACGATTGGTTTTACTATGATTTTTAAAAAAAACAAAAACTTTTAAAGTGAGTTAAAAACTGATTAAATTGTTACATTTTTACGCTTATAACATAAAAGCTAATAGTAGGTATTTATTAAAAAAAAAAAAAAAACAAAAACACTATTTTTGTGTAAATATCAAGAGGTGGTATAGGATATTTTTGACAAATAACATTTTTTTTTTTTTTAAATGAATATTTTGTTCAACATGGACAAAAAAAAATGATTTGCCTATTTAATGACTTAATTACTACTGCTTGAAATTATATATATTCTAGCTGTTCCTTAAATTTGGATAAAGTTACGTAATACTTAAAATTATAAATCTACTCAAATCTTATCTTTACACTTTAAGATTTTTTACATATAGAATTTAAATATACATTTATTTTCTTTTTTAAGGGCTGTGTCTTTATAAAATAATAATTAATGTATATTATATATTTTATATAATATGCTTAAAACTTAATTTAATTTTTTTGAAGAACCGTCCTGAAGTAGTTGTCACTTGAAACAAATTTATCTTTACATTTCCTTATTTGAAAATTTTTCTCAACATCGAAAGAAAACGTTTAGTGGGTCATTTGAGAAATTTTGCAACTGTGTATTTTTCACGAGTATATGTTTGTTGAGAGTCTGCCAACAGGAAAAAAAATCACTGTCAATGGGAATGTTCATTAGCACAGACACATGTGAGCCAGAACGATAAAAATTTGCGGCAGCTCATCTTTTTTGACCTGGTGCCCAGGACGGCGAGACAAGATTATAGTTTATCTCATTGATGATGATATTTACTGGACATTCAGGTGGTCCTTTGGCTATTTCTGTTTTAAGTTAGCCAGGACATTAAATGTGTTTCGTTACGTTTTCTTATAATTTGTTACAAGAAAAAAAAAGGTTATTATTAGATATTTAAAAGACTATGAATTACGAAAAGCATTTGACAGGCTTTAAATGTAAAATAGAGTGTATTAACTTCATCCAATTAATGTTAATTAAAAACAGTTAGGTTAATGTATATATATATATATATATATATATATGTTACAACAAAAGCCCAAAATCAACCTTAGTTGGAAATGACAAATATCGCCTCACATTGATCAGCCAATGTCCGATCTATTCTTGTTTTCGAAAAATGACCAGCCACTTTGCAATATGTCATTTGGGCGATTGGCCAAAGTCAGAAGAGAAAAAGTCAAGAACAGATTTTTTGGTGTTCCTCTACCGTAATGATCATCAAATTATTTGATTATTAATATCATAAATTATCAAAAATATTCAAATGGGTTTATTATAGTCAATATTCAATCTCTATATCTTGCTACAACAAGATGAGCTTGTATGACATTTTGAATTGCACAGCAGTTTGGTATATGTACATTTTCATCGATCTGTTGAGCTCTCTGTTGTGCAATTTGCATCGAGTGTAGCATCGTTGGCCGATGTGTGATTTGGAAAACGCCACGGCTCATAGTGAGGTTTCTTCTGTACCCACTGATGCCAAGGTGAGTGGTTTCTCGTGCAGAGTGGAATACTTCTGGAATACAGTTGTTTAAGTGCACCGTGTTCTGTTACGAGCTTGCAGAAAGCTCCCTCGACGTTCATGACAACTGCAAAAATGGTTTGTGCATCACTGTGAACTCTTTCAACATCTGGTATTTGGATGCGTAAATTATCATCAGCTTTCGATGTTTGTTGCATCAGCACATCGAACAATGGCTAGGAAATTCCCCGGCATTTCGAGAAGCGCCCGGCCAAAGTAGCATATACACTGGCCATTTCCATTACATCTGACGCTTTGGCCAAAGAGAGAAATGGCCTGCCTATTCGAAAACTTGCCGAAAACTGCGGAATTTGTCAGTATGTGGCTATTTATTAATTTTTCTCCTCTAAAGCTTTGAAATTTCAAAACTGTAAAGTTAATTTCTTAATATGAATATGGTTATCCTAAGAATAAAATAAAAAAAAAATAGAAATAATTAAATTCCTCTGTAGTCATTTTCAGAAACTCACCTGTCGTTTCAGTAGTGATTACCAAAGGTGTGCAGGCTGTTTTCCCATTTTTGATGCTAGCATCCACGTATATTTTGTACTGTTTTCCCGTTGATAAGCCTTGTAACAAATATTCAAAAGGACTGGATGATGTTTGGTTAACTCTAGGGACTGTTACTGTACCAGCTGCACGAGATACATTGGTCTCCAAATCTTGATATTTAATTCTGAATGTTTGAGGTGGGCCGCCATTAAAGCCAGGTATCCACGAGAGTAATACTTTATCAACAAAAACTCGTTCCACCTTTATATTGTATGGGCACACTAAACAAAATGTAGACAATATATCGTATTTTTATCTGCAAAAATGTTTGTTTGTGTGTAAACTAATTTTAAAAAATGTAGTTTAATGAATATGTTGTGTTTTTCTTTTAAATAATGGAATGCGATATTTGTGAATGGATAAAGTAAACGTTAATATGTAATATAACAATATGTTTTTTTTTCTTCATTTCTCTTTACAATGCTAGTTATTTTATTTTGTTTATAAATGCAATTTTATATTAGCTGTTCATTTTACAATAGTTTTTCATTATTTTCCATTCAATTTATAATAGTTATTTCTTTTTCTTATTTGCTTCTCAATGTCTATATCTTATTTTATGTTCACCTTACAAATCACTATATTTTTTTTTTTAAATTTGCTTCATAATGGCTACTTGCAATTTTATTTCCACAATGTAAAGGCATTTTTTTTAAAAATTATTATTAGCTTCAAAATAATATTCCTTCTCTTCTAATCTATTTAAAATTGCTTTTAACATGTTTTTTTTTTAATAAATTACTATTTTATTCCAATTCTTAATGGCTATTCATTATTTTCTCTTTATATCGCATTGGTATTGTTCTTGTTTTATTTTCATTTTAAAAATTGTTATTTTTTTCTTGACATTTTAATTTACACAAATATTTGTTTTTTTTTTTTTTCATTTTCTTTTATATGTTTCAAAATTACTATATTTTTCTCTAAACTAGTCTAACATTAACTACTACTACTACATTACATTGTTCCATGCATATGGAAGACATATTGAAGCTGCACGGGTCATCATTGGCATAGAATGATGGAAAGAGGTTGACACAGTCCTCATCCTCTCGACCCCGCCTCATGTTATTGGGTTCTCCTCTTGACCAAAGAAGTGAAAGTTCCGTGGCGTTTTCATCAGAGGCTACCCAAACAAACTGACCCTCCTTTCTTGCGTCACTTGCCCCTATCCACGCTATAGAAATAGAGTTGAATAAAATAATATGGGGTTGCTAAAAAAAGCTGAAATTGTGTATTTTAAAAGAAAAGAGAAACTATAACAAGCGTTTTATATTATAGTTTTTAAAAAATCTAAATGTTGAGATTATTTTGCTCTTAGCCTTTTTTTTTCCTCTACAGAATAGATTTGTGATTAGGGCTAGCAGGTTTAAGTGTTCGATTCCTGACAATATTTCTTTAAAGCAAGCAATTGATACTATTGTATTTTGCGGATTATTAAATTCAAATATTTAAACAGTCCCAAGCCTATTCAAAAACGTGCTTTTAAGTTTTTTAAATCATTTTTTTTAATAAAGATTATCTTATTCGTCACCCTTTTTCAAGTTATGTTCATAATAAAAATCAAAAACAAACAAACATACATACATGTATATATATATGTATGTATATATATATATTTAAGGTTTTAATAAAATGGAACTATGTAATGCAAAAAAAAAAAATATATGTTTTTTTTTTTACCTTTCTTATTTGAACTTATGAAAATATTCTTCTGTTATTTTGAAGTGAGTCTAAGAGTTTTGTTGTTGTTATTTTAAAAAAAATAAAAGTTACCCCCCTGATAATAACTTAAATAAACATTAAAATACTGTTAAAGTATATTTTGTTATTATTATTAAGGTTAAATGAAATTGGCAACAATAATTACACATTTTCAATTACTTAGGTCAATTTTTTTATCTATTTGATAAAATATGTGACGTTAAACTAAAGTTAAGATTGCGTCAGTTAAAGAACACAAATGCCATGTCGGATACGCTCAGATCGTGAGCAGCGAAATATTACCAGGTAGTACCACATCTCTTAGCATCTACGTATTTTGCAGTGAAGTACTTTTATTTTCACTGAGCTAGTCTACCTCTGGGTGATGTGGGGGAGAATTTTTGACAAATTATTAAGTGCTTGAGCTCACATAGTTTTCATGTATATTTTGAGCGAATAGAAAATGAATTCAGTCAAATTGAGGAAAATTATGAAACAAGTAGATAAATGAATGTTTTCTTTGAGAAAACTCTGTTATAGTCTATTGTAACAGTGTCTTATTATACATTCTGCATTTGTATTTACAACAATTAAAAACAGGCGCATGAGTAATTCTGTAGATATGTGTTCATAGAGTGGACTTGTATTCATTGCATTTAGTTTTCACTTCAAACTGAATGTATCAGCTACACCAAAAAAATGTTTTGCTCTCCCTCCTCCTCCCCTCCCTCTCTATCTCTCCATCATACATCACACGCACACACATATATGTATATATGAAAGTGAAAGTTTGTGGCTTTGTTTGTTCCACAAAGGATCTTGACAAAACGTCACATTTATATCCATTAGTATCATTTTTTTTTTTGGTTGCTTTTTAAGCGATATTTAAATAAAATTAACAAATGCTCCTGCATGAGTAGATAGATCTTTACAAAACTTAGTACACATACGCTTTATTATCCATATTAAAATACGGAATGAAATTAAACTCATAATATCTATTCTATAAACTGGAACCCATCGGTTACGCGATCTCCTCGGCGATTGGGATCCCATCGTGAAACGGGACTGAGCTGGTGTTGGGGTCCTAATGCAAACCCTGGCAAGGCCGGCTATATTGGCTAGTATATATATAAATTGAAAGTTTGCTTGTGGTGGTGTCTGTTTGTTGCGGTGTTTGTTTGTTCCACAAAGGCTTTTACATGGATTGATGGATCTTGACCAAACTAGGCACATATATCAATCTTCATCCGGAAAAAGTCTTACAAGGTCATGAACTTTTCATAACGTTCCATTAGGGGGTCGGGGGCCGCAATTGTTTTTTTTTTGTCTAAAATGAGCTATATCAATAAAATGATCAACAAATCCTCCTACATGAATAAATGGATCTTGACCAAAATTAATATAAATACGCTTGATTATCCATATTCAAAAACTGATGGATACGTAGCATATAATATCCTTTAATCTGGGCTGGTTCCCCCTTTTCTTTTTTTCCTTATTTAAGCTAAATAAATATTAATTGTATTTTATAGTTACAGTATTGCATTTAAAATAATTTTTCGTATGTAATAATAATTACTTTGAAACAACATTTGAAACACGTTTCGAGAAGGATAATTACATTTAATCTAAAATATTCCAGAAATTTCCATACAGTCATACGGGGGATATATCCTGGGATATAAAAGCTTATAGTAACGCTAACCGGATCCAGCTCTAAATCAAACGCAAGGGTATGAGATTCATTCGGGTAATATGGGATCAAACCGGGACCGGGATCCACTCCGGAAATGGGATCCTATCAGAGAAGACGATCCCACCCCGGGAATTTCTATACTAACTGGATCGGCATCCTAACGAATGCAAATGGAAATTTCATTGGTAAAGAATGAAACTAAAAGGTAGAAGATAATTAAAGGTTTAATTTTACCAAATGTCTAATGTGTGTAGTTGATTTTTTTCGAGATTTATGATATATAATTTTTTTTTTTTTACATTCTCGCCACAACCCAGGCCTTATTCATGATGTGTCAAATATTTTAGAAAATATATGCATCTGTGTGTATGTGTATGTGTGTGTTTGGTTTCACATTAATGTCCTACTCAAGATGCATGCACGCGTCATTAACATCACGTGGATTGTAAGGATGTTTGATAGAGTATCGCTACTTTATTATATGTCTTGCCATATAAAATTGCAATTAGTTAATCTAAATTTTACCTCGATCGAACATGGGTTGATTTTCAAGAATCTCTTTTATCTGATTAACTGAATTGACATAGGCGAGTGTCATTCCTTTCGATTCACAATTTTTCTGAAAGAGAAAATAGTAACGCGCATATAACAGTTGTATCCCAGTTAACCTAATGGTAGAATTCAATTGTATTTCTTTGATAACGAGACAGGAAATTTTATTTTACATACGTTTCTTTAAAAGTAATGAATGCTACTTTTGATAGCATCAAGAAAATTTTAACTTTGCAGAGTAAAATGTGTACAGTTACAATTATTTATGTTCATGTTCTTCTGAAAGACAAAAACTTGGCAATGAATAAAGAATTTGGAGAAAAAAACAATAATTAAACAATTAATTAAAAAAAGATATTTCCTTTTTTAACATTAAATCTTAAAATTTAAGTAACGTAAAAATGATCAATTAATATTTAATAGATTTATTTTCTCAAAAGTTCGTGCGCATACCATCAAAATGTTTGATATATGTATATAAATAAGAAAAAAAAATATATTGTTGATTGTTTGTCAAAATCGACTAGGACCATCTAGTAATCCGGTTGAAAAAAAGGGGGGGGGGGGGGGGGAGGGTGGTCACGGGGAGTTCGTATGTGGCTTGCTAGTCCGATCCAGGCCCGGAATAGTTTTTAAAAAAATGTTTAAATGTTTTAAATAAAAAAAAAAAAAAAAAAAAAAAAAAAAAAAAAAATTACAAAAAAAAAAAAAAGAAAGAAAAAAGTTTTTTTCTTTAATTTAGAAAAAAAAAAAAAAAAAAAAAAAAAAAAAAATTAAAAGTAATAATAATTCCTTTTGCAAGCAATTCACCGTTCTAGCCTATAAGAAAGTTAGTTTTGTCAAACAAAAGTAGTTTTTCAAGACAATGTATAGAAGAACCTCTTTGATAGTTGCTTTTAATTTAAAAAGGCATGCTTTAATTTTTTCCTCATGAAAATCGCTTTTTAATAGTGAAATCATTACTATATTTGTTTTTGTGTTTATAGTTTCCATGTATGTACTTTTAAAAAAATATTTTACAATTCTAAATCAAATAAATGTGCTGAGTGTTTACATTTTAAAATATGCACATATTTTATTGCATGTTTTACTTGTATTTTTGAAAATGAAACACATCTGAAGAAGTACACATTGTGTGTACCTTCAACACGTACAAGTACAGACATCTTTGATGATCATACAATGGCATACTGTTAACTCATCTGAACGAAGCCAGAGTTGTGATGAATACTGATATTGTCTATACCTTTAGAACAGCAAAAGTACGTCTATATTATTTGTTATAACTTTTTATTATTATTATTTTTTTTTTTTTTTGCAGCTCTAAAACTTTAATTTTGTTGTAAAAATAAGCGTTTTTATGTTTACCTTTGCTTGGTTCCAGGTAGCAAGTGAAGAATTGAATTGAAAACATAATTCTCCCACACGCCTTGATCCCTTTTCTTTGCATATTGGAATGTCGTCTGCATTACAAATAAACACTTCATTAGTTTGTAAGTATTTTTAAAATACATAAGCGCATATATATATATATAAATTATATATGTATATATATATATATATATATATATATATATAAATATATATATGCCTATATCAATCAAAGAATTGATTGGTATTTATTCTTTTTATAAATGCACCTTTAGCTAGAAAATCAAATATTTTAATTATTATCTAGAAGATACATGACTTTCTTTAATATGTATTTTGTGAAGCGTTTTTGACGAAAATAATAATTCCCACATACTTAAAATACATTTTACTATAACATTCTTAATAAGAGTCTATGATAGTATTGATATACATTGAACTTTAAAACATACACAATGACAATACGTGTTTTTCATACCCTGTCCGTCAACAAAGATATGTAGAGAATAAAGGATCCATAATATGTTTAGCAACATCCCATTATCCATGTTTACTGGAAACAAAAATAACAAGAAATAATTGATTTGAAAAAAAATAAATAATTAGTTCAAAAATAGGTAGTAATTTATATTTTATATAAAATTATAATACTATCAAAATGTATGTAGCTATATTGAGTTTTTGAACTATATATAAAGCATATCTCTAGGTTGATGTGACTAGTTTCTTTAATTTAAAAAAAAACCAATGCATTACATATATAATCAAGAGAAAGAGTTAGGTACACAAATGTAAAATTTTTCTTGACAAAAATAAGAAAAAGGAAAAAAAGAAATGAACTTTACTTTTGTAAATAGCAGAAAAGAAAAAAAAAAAAATTCTTACCTAAAAGAAATTTAGTATTGTCTAACAATTGTTTTTTTTTTCCCTTAATTTGAGTGCAACGTTAGGCTTAGCATATTCAAAGAGACGGTGGTTTAAATTGACACATTATGTAATATGGGAGTGCTCAGAAATGTCAAGTACAGGTTTACTGTAACATCCGGATTAAAGCGTTATGTTGCTGTCAAGCTTAGTTTAATGTTATTCATGACAAACCCAACCCAACGGTGATGCACCATCGTCTCACGAGACGGAAGGATGCCGATAGATAGAGATTCATGACAAATAAAGTATGTGGTGGCGTTAAGAAAAAGAGTAATGTATAACAAAAAATGGTTAAGATAGGGAAAAATAGTAACATCAACTATATAAATATATATATATATAAATATATATATATATATATATATATATATATATATATAGATAAATATATATATATGTATATATATATATATATATATATAGATAAATATATATATATGTTTATATATATATATATATTATTAATTCTAATAATCATTACTCTAAGGCCGGGTTTGAGTAAACCTCTTGCCCACTTGCATATGTAATGAATAAGTGGTTCTCAAACTATGGGTCGCGAGCCCTATGGGGTTCGAACCACTATTTTACAGGGGTCGCCTAAGCCCCATATACTCTACAGTTATGAAGTAGCAACGAAAAAAAATGTTATTGTTGGGGGTCACCACATCATGATTAACTATATAAAAGGGTCACAGCATTATGAAAGTTGAGAACCACTGTAGTAAATGGACCTCTTTAGTTTGCTGAATTTGGTGTGCTCAAAAATAAAAATAAATAAAGACTGTACAATATATTATTTGCAAATAAAAACCATTCTATTATGTTATCAAAATTGTATAGAAGATAAGAGTTAGGGTTTGGGTTTGGGCAGCATAGCGCATTCTTATATATAAATTACTATATAAACATGTGTACATGTTAAGTTAATTTGCCTTTAAAACACGTTTCACATTTGATCTATACATTGTCATGATTTCCTTGTTTCATTCAATCTTCAGTCAAAATTGTGTTTATTAGCCACGACTGTGTCACAAATTTATACGTGTGTGGCTCCTTTGTCTAGTGGTATTTGATACACACTGTACACCAGTACACAACAGGACATAAAGATTTGACACACGCGTTCTTCTCAGTTATGAATGATGAGATTTCATTCTACTACTCTCTGATCTCATGAGTTCTCCCTTTAGTAATGTGGGTTCTGCAAAAAAGCCAAGCCAAACAACCACCTATACAACCTGGATCACAACACTAGCAACACTACTATTTACCACTACAAAACCCCAACTAAAACAAAAAAAGACTGATTCTCTGATCCGGTCAGCGTCCCACGCACTCACTCCTCCTCCACTGCCCACCTGCACACTACTCACTACAACCGTACTTCCTCCAATGAACTTTAGTATCCCTACGCATATAGTCCAATATGCATTCAGGCACAACATTTTCGAACACCTTGGCATACTGTTTATTCTGTTAAAGTTCTGAATTTTAAAAAAAGTTTAAGTCAATATTAACAAAGTCAAATTTTATTCTAAATAAATGTAAAATTAACACACACAAAAAAAGAATTAAAGATTTGTGTAGGCATTTTTTGCAAACTCACCTGTCGTTTTAGTGGTGACTATCAGAGTTGTACACACACTGTTTCCCATTATAGTTGCTAGCGTCGACAGACATTTTGTAGGGACTCTATGCTGGTAATCTGCTAATGAGATAGATAGAATGTAATGGACTATTTTTACTTCTTGATATCGTTACATTACCAGCTAAACTAGATCTGTTAGTCTCAAGGTCTTGATATTTTACAGCAAACATTGGAGATGGGGCAGTGTTATGGTAATGGATCCAGGAAAGTCGTACTTTCTTATTGGAGACTTCTCCTGCTGTAAAATTGTATGATGTCAAGGGTATGAGAATCACTGTTGTCGTGTTTGTTAGGGAAAAGATGTTTAGTTTTAGAGATTTCATGTGTAGCTGTATCTATGGTGTGAGAGTGTTGTGACGTATTTGGGTCAGGGGAAATAGTTTTTGTGGTTGTTATGGTGGAGAGATGGCAGATATCCTGTACTGACGGTTTGGACTTGTGTTGCTGAGTATTATGCTGAAACAATTTGATTATTAATCTGTAATTATTTAACAACCATAGTTGGGAATTGTAGTTAAAAAAAATCAGATCTTGCAACAAACCGATACGTTTTTGTTGTATTAGTAGATGTTGCTATTAGCTATACTGTCCGGTGGGATCAAGTGAAAGACTTTGCCCAAACAAGTAGACATTCATCGCCTTGAGTGGATGAACACGAAACAACTGGTTCAACAGTTTGACATATATGACACCTTGCATGGATTGTAAAATAAACATTAAAACCTCATAAATAATAGACAAAAAAAAAAACACACACACACAACACTTTTCAAACGTGGTTGTCTTGTTTGTCATTTTTTGGAAAAAAACTATATTTTTGTAAGTTAAATTAAAAATAGTTCGATGAATAAATATACTTTAAAATAAAAAGTACTTTTTTTTAAAATTTAATATTATTACTTAAAAATTTAAATTTATCCTTTGGGGCATTTCTTTCTATAAAACTATTTTTTTTTTGGTTGATTATTAAATTTTCTACACATGTTACAGTTGTATTTATTTATTTTAAAATTTTTCTATACAATTCAAACAATAAAATATTTCAAATTGTCCATGTATATGTAAGAATAATTTGGTTGCTTTATTATTATTTCTCTAATATTTATAAAACACATTAATAAATATGTTACTTAAAAAATCATTTATGCAAATTTCAGTCCAAAAATGTTTATTTGTATAGTTGGTTTCCAACATATTGACTTAGTTTTAATCTGTAAATAAAAATATTGCGGTAACCATGACAATGTTCCACATTTAGCCAGGTTTTATTTTTCTCAGGTTTTTTAAATAGATATACACTTTGTCTTTTAATTGTTTCCCCTTTTTACAGTTAGAGTAACATGTGACGTTTGTCCTTAAAATCTCAATGATAATAAGAAATATATAGTAAGTAGCAAGCTATACCTTTTAAAAAATGTAAAAGCATATAAACTTAAACCACTTCATCCACAAAGCTTCGTTGGTTAAAAACGAAGTGTGAAATAATTTTTTTTTTAAATAATATATACTACATATATATGTATATAATTTATATTGTTATTGCGCTCTGAGTTTATATATGTATATATTTAATTAGTCTATAGAGAGTAAAATTTTGTGCATATAATAAAATGCTCCAGACCAGGCCTTCTAAAAATAATATACCTCAGAAATTGCTAAATAATCGTGATGGATGTCAAAGGGTCCTGGTCTCCTTACAAAATTACCGTCCACAAATAAAGTTATAATATAAAATTAAATGACAACTGCTTTCTTTTCTTAATCACAATAAGTGTCACATTGCAAAAATATCAAAATGTAGGCTGGGAGGTGTTACGTGGTAGTACTTTGCAACCATTTTGAGGTTCCACATAATCTAGATAATATAAGTAATATAAGGATTTACTTTGAATGACATTCACAGATTGAGATATCAATCCATTTTATTATTTACAAAGCTATTTAAGTGAGAGAAAGAAAAAAAAAGGGGGGGGGTGTGGGGTGTGGGGGGGGGGGGAGGAGTTAATTCAGCCATTAAAGATCATGATCAGAATAAAGTTTAAGAAATTGAAAAAACATTTTACTATGTATAGCTGAAAATTTCTTATCATGTTTCGCACCATGTAAGGTTTTTTAAGAAGTTTCCAGTTGCTTGCATAATAATGGTGTTTGACGTGGTCATCATTTTTCTCAAATCAAAGAAATACATTAGATATCACGCTCTTAATAGTAGAATTCAATTTAAAGTTTATAATCGGCATTACGCATGTGTACTCTTTGATACCAAAGGATTTGAAAGAAGGAATAAAAACTATTTTTTTTTTATTTCCATTGTTTGTGTTTTTTTGTTTTTTTTTATATTTTGTAAAAAATTTTTTAAGTCATTCTTTTTGTGATGCATTTTGAGAAATTCTACTGATTTACTGTAATATTTTCATTTTTATTTCGTTTCAAATCGTCTCGTATGGGAAAATTGTTTTAATTTGCTTTCCCCTTCTTAGTATAAAATTCAATTTTTTAAATAATTGATAAAAGTGTAACTAATTCCCCTTTAACTATAACATACTACAGTATTCATGTTAAAATGACTTAATTCTGAAACTGGTATTAAAAGTGGATCTTAGCTCACCCTCACCCGTTCACTTTGAGAAGCAGATTCGTTTAACCATGATACATTGGGCGATTGTGTCCAAACGACTCCTTAGTTCAGCCGTTCCCTATGTGTGAAAACTGCACGTGAAGACTAACAATGCCCGTGCATACACGAAATACTGACCCATGAAACAATCACAAGATGAATGTTTAATTAATTTAATAATTAATTTTTGTGTGTGGAGGTTTTCATGTGACACGTGATGTCAGTTAACGATCTCATACGTAGGATTTACATTTCAGGAGTAGCAAACGTGGTACATTTAATATTAAATGGAATGTCTTGAATAACAAATGTGACAATGAGATGAACTAAAAAAAAATTACTTCTCCTTTCGCCCGAGAGCTAAAAATAAAACAGAAGTGGGAGTAGACCTTTCAAAAGTCAAGCGATGGCTCTGAACGTGTAAATGATGCTATCATGCAACTGTAATCTAAGTGGTTTCTATCTGGGGGCTTACGAGTAGTTTTTTTTTGTTTTAAATTTGTATCCGTTTCATATGTTTGTTATTTACGCTAGTGTCAAAGTTATAATTGTTTTTGTGTTCATGCTCACTCAGCCCAGACAACTTGTCTTGTAAAAGGAATGTAACAAGGGAGGGATGCCGACGAAAAATCCCTTGAAATATGACGCTCTATTCCCATTTAGAAAACAAAAAAAAAGAGATACAACTCAGATAAATTATTATAGTAATTTTTACTTCATTTTTTTTTTTAAAATACAATTTTTAATTAAAAGAAAAGAAATAAACAATATAAAAAATATGTCCGAAAATAAAATTTGAGTAAAGTTTTTTTTAAAAATTATTAATAAATACCTTGTCAGGACTTACGACTCGCTTTGATTTTTTTGTTCCTACTCCAGGCTTTATTTTTCTTGTCCCTCGTGACCCGTTCATCACTTGTGAAAGAATATCTGTGTAGAAAATTGTTTTTAAAAACTATACTTGATCAAATCCAAATTAAGCTTTTTTTTTACATTTAATTCAAATAGTCTTGCTTCATGGTTGCCTCGCCCCAAATCTGAATAGACTTTCTTCATGTATTACTTCGTTTAACTTTGCTTGTGCTTGCCTTGAGACGTGCCGATACACCAATCATTTTGCTATCTTGCTGTTAGGTAGGCTACGAAATAGTTTTACTTTCGTGGACAAGCGAGTACATTAGGTCTGTGAAAATCATTTCCACTTTCATATTATTTAATGTTGTTATGGTTTAACTAAGTAAACATCGATCGGATGACGTCACCGTAAAATGAGAGACACGCAATTATTCAGAGTAAAAGAATCTATTTTATTTAAAAAAAAAAAAAAAAGCAAAAAAAAAACACTATATTATTATGTCTGTTTTAACGGACCCCACTAAAGTAATCATTTCCACATTCATATTATTTAATGTTGTTATGGTTTAACTAAGTAAACATCGATCGGATGACGTCACCGTAAAATGAGAGACACGCAATTATTCAGAGTAAAAGAATCTATTTTATTTAAAAAAAAAAAAAAAAAAAAAAAAAAAAAGCAAAAAAAAAACACTATATTATTATGTCTGTTTTAACGGACCCCACTAAAGTTACAGGATTCGATTTTTTTAGAAAGAAACAAACATCATTTTGGAACCTACCGTATCACAGCAACGACAACAACAACAACAACAACAACAACAACAACAACAACAACAACAACACCAAAACTGCTGTGTGCAATATTCATGAGTTTTAGCTTTATTATACACAAAAGTCAAGAAAATCTCTCCAGTATTTGCCTTTTGTGCTTGCTTAATACCATGACTCACATAAAAAAAGCAAAAAATAACCGGAAGACTGTGTCCTGTATGTTGAATTGCAATAATTTATTTCAAAGGGTTGAGTGGATTTCCTGACAAAAATTGTATTGTGTTTGCGAACCATCCCCCCCCCCTCAACCTCCGTTAATAGACAAAACACGCTCTCTGGAGCTTAAAGCTACTCGGTAAAAAGGTAAGAAGGGTAACAAAAGAGGTCTATATTTTAATATAGTTCATTTGGCGGTAACAATTGTGCGATAAAATACATAAAGCAGGGGAAAGGAGGGGTAGAAATAATCATGATTTTAATAAAGTGATCTAATTATAGTTTTGTTTTTTCAGGTTAATCTTTGCAGATGGGATTCTATGCACTGCCGACACTTTGGTTTGACTGTTTTATAAAAAGCATATTTTTTTAAAAAAATTGGTGAGATAATAAATAAAGAACATTGAATTGTCTAATTGATGTTGCAATAATGAGAAACGAGGACAATTCTAAAAAAGTAAGTGGAAATAATTGTTTGTTTTTTTTTTCTTCAAATATCCATTATAAAATTTGTTTAAGACAGCATAAACCAAATTTCTGAACACATATTCAAGCGGACTAATACACTGTCAGTAACCATGGTAGCCAACTCAAAACCCAGCTACATTCAAACAGATGATCTAACACTTTTTCATCATTGTGCTGGTTCATGGTCACTTCGACTTTTGGGGCTTAGTTCATCCTCCCGTAGTCACTGCTGGAGGCCAGACTATAGTATGAGAGTATTATGAACAAATTCCTAAGCATAATGCAAATCTATTATATGTACTAAAATAATTGTATTTTTGTATTATTAATTTTTTTTTTTTATTTATTTAAATGAAAATCAATTTTAAACAGCTCAAAGTGTTGGTGTTACAATGGGTAGTTTTGGAACTGCCAAAGTGTTGGTGTTACAATGGGTAGTTTTGGAACTGCCAAAGTGTTGGTGTTACAATGGGTAGTTTTGAAACTGTTTTTGACTAAATATATGGACAATATTCACATGCAGCGCTAAGGTCCTGGCCACGGCCCACGGATCACAGTCTGAGGACCCTTCCTTTAAAAAAAAGACACTCAAAAATGAAACTTACGGTACATAAAATATACTTTTTATAGATGTTTACATTTTTTCTTTTCGCACTGACGGATATCACTTAAAACAATGCCTAATCAACTTGCGCGCTGTGTCAAGATGGGCTAAGGCAGGCGTTCTCAAACTACGGCCCTTGATCCCGATATGGTTCGTCCTAGTCCTTAATCTGGCACGCCATTACACATTACTAGAACCCAGTTTTATGTTGCATATATGTAACAGTTCATTAGTCTTTTTTTTTTCCCAAATGTTGTCACAATTTTTATTTAAATACCAAAAATATAATTGGCTTATTATTTTCTTTGATCGATCTTTTGTGTATGTTACTTAAGTTTGTTTTTGTTTTTTTTTCATTTTACCAAATGAAACGAAATGTGCGTAAAATGTAATCCTATATTTTCCATCACTAGACCAACCACTCTACAGTGTCTAAGTGAAAGTGAACCGACCCCGCAGTTTTAAAAAGCAATGTTGACCTTTGAGTATAGAAGCTTAAGAGGTTAAAGAGCAACTCTCATATTCCAATGGAAACAGGAATAACATCTTCAAAAGGATCAGTTATCTTCATAGACATTTAAGTGTTATGTTTTTAAAGTGTGGTTGATGTTTGTTTTTTTAATTTAATTTTTTTAAATTTTAAACTGGATTCATCTAATATATATATGATATTCATTTAATTTGTCTATTTTTTAAATAGTTAAATAGGTAGAGACACACATAAGTTAAAATGATTCTCCTTGACATTTATTTATTATTATTTTTTGTTTGCCTCACAGTAGGATGAAAATATCAACACAATGCGCACAGTATCTGAAATTCAGCTTTTAAGATTTACATTTCGTATTCTCATGAGGAATGTGGTGATTCTATTTCTATTGAGCTGCAACATAAGACAAGGATTTTCTGGTATAACATCTATTGTTTTTTATTATTTTTTTTAAAATCAATTCAGATATTAAATAAACAAATGATATTTACAATAAATTTAAAGCAAATTTATGGCTAATAATGGTTTTAAACGCGTAATTTAACTGGTGAAAATTTTCCAATAATTGTATTTATTTTTTATATAAAGAAATTTATTAACAAATACAATGAAATTTAGATTGAAAATTAAAATAAAATATTCCTTTTTACCAAATATTAGGCACAAAAACCAATTGAGAATAAATCTGTTCATTGAATTTAATATAATCCTAAATATATATATTATATATATATATATATATATATATATATATAAATAAATAAATAAATAAATATATATATATATTTATATATATANTATATATATATATATGTATATATAATTTACATAATAAAGCAAGTCTAAGATTATAAGTTATAATAACAAAATAACCCCTCATTACCGTCATCCTCCTCACCACCTTTCACGCTGTAGCTAGGATCACATGGTTTAAAGCCGAGCCATCAGCATCTGTTTCAGGAACAATAAGACTCTCACAGAAACAAAAGCTAAGCCTAGAATGTTCGATTAAGTCTTCTGGTCAGCCGTACGTCGCACGTATCACAAACGAGGAGGGCGTTGTGCTAGCCAGCAAAAGAGATACCAATGATTCCATTCTCACATATACTATACACCAGGTGGCGTGCCACGATATAGGATCGTTAACCTGTGAGCTTGATGATCAAACTACGAGTAAATTGATCACTTCGACCCATTACTTAATGGTAGAAAATTGTACGTATGTTATAGTTATGTAATTGTAAATACAGTTTACTTAGGTCTTTTTGCTAGACAATTGTAGTTAGCAATATACTTATTGCATGTCTGGAATTTGGGGGGGATTGAACTTTAGTCCACTCGACCGACTAGTTTTCAATAACATAGGTAAAAGTTAAACGAAAACAATGAAGTTCTTTACTTTTACAGATACTTTAAATTCATGTCTTTAGCAAATCTTTTTTTTTTTAAAATTAATAATCTTATTTTTTTAATTTATTTTTTTGTGTGATAAAATCATTCGTACTGTAAAAAAATATCATGTATGTATTTTATGAACAAATTAAGTTTTTTGGAGTAATAGAGCTCCATTCAAATGGAGTATGGTGTGCTAGGCCAGTTATAATGTGAAGTACATGTCGCTGTCAAGTTAGGCTTTCATACAGAAATGCCTTCACCAAAAAAAAGCAACTTAATTAGCGTAGGAATTGTACTAACAAAGTTCGGCTTTCTTAAGAAAATAATATTGAAAAGTCCAAACCTACAAGTATCCTATTTTGCTAAAGTGGTGCAGATTTGTCTTTAAAAAATCATCAGTACATTATTGTGATTTCATTTTCTTTCGTCTTTAAAAAAAATGTTAATCTAAGTAAATTTAATAAAACAATACTAAATAAAATTTAAATAATTATAATATTATTTGAAATAGATTAAGGTGGTAATTTTGTGTAAATAAAACAATATAGGTTAAGTTTTAATTATGGTTATACAGAATGCAAAATTATAAAAGTTCTGATGAATAGAGCAAACTAAACAGAAGCCATATTTATTTATAAACGCAAGAAAAAAAAGTGAGATTGTTCATCCACTACACGAAATATTTTAACCAGAACTAACGTTTGAACTTTTACAATTGAAGGATGTCTATTAATTTTTTTTTTTTTTTATCTTAGCACTAAACTGAATGCACTTATTGATTATAAATAAACATCCTCTACGTATTTATGTACGGCTGTAACGCGTGCAAAATAAAATAAACATAAGGTAACAGTAATTACGGATGTTTTTAAAGAGCGTTAATTGAAGAAATGGTTTTGTCTAGCAATTTTAGGAGATCGGAAGTTCACGGTATGTTGCCGCCATTGCAAGGCAGGTTATTTCGAGCGTAGTTATAAATACTTAGCTCAACATCTTCAAAGTTATTTTGTAAATGCTTCATTTATCATCCTTACAAATCAGATTCGTGAAACACAACTCAAAATTATAGTGGTAGATTTATTCTGAATTATGTGTGGTAACTATATTGTATTACTAGACAATTTACCTGCATGGAGGTGGAAAGCAATGGAACATACCGAATGGAATGATTGGGTGAGCAGGGCAGGGCCCTACCTGGGCTGTGGCGCCACTGATGATGATGAAACAACACACATGGCTTTGCCCAGAACGGCATTCGAAAAAAAAAATTTACAATGTCTACATACATTTAATTAACATTACAACTTTAGGGTCGTGTAAAAAAATATACCGTAAAGTTATTCAGAAAAAAATATAAATAACTATCTTATCTCCTACAAAATATTATAGAATAAAAAAGTAAATTTTTGGTTCCCCAACCGGATCCCTACCCCATTTGGATACAGATTCCGGTGGCATCTCGATGCCGATTAAACCGTGAACACGGTGGGAGAAAGATCACGGTAGGATTACGATCCTCGTGGAACATTGCCCCTAGTGTATTCAGGATACCGACGGGATCCTAATTTGCCGTGTGATTCCAATCCCGGCGGGATCCCAATCCCGTGGGAATACGATGGGATTCCGATACAGTTGGAATCTCCAACCCGATTTCATTATAATTCCGTATTACCCCATTTCCGGGTTGGATCCAGTACTGGTGTGATCCAAATCGGTGTGGAATCCGACCTCGGTTGGATCATAATCACGGTGTGATTCCGATACTGGTGGCATCCCAATCCCGGTGGAATCGCAATACCGTGGGATACCGATACCGGACAAATTCAGATCTCAGTGGTATCCGGATCCCATTGGGTTTTCGAGACTAATGGGTCCCGTTTCCCGCTGGGATCCCGTTTTCAGCTGGGATCCCGATCCCGTTTGGATTCCGTGAATTTCAACATGATTTTAGTTCCCATTACATATATTGAACAATCTAGAACTTTCTGAAAAATTTTAGATTACAATTAATTTTATCCTCGAGAAAATTTTTTTACGATTTCAACAATCATACCACTAAATATAATTCTTTAACTATAGAACCTTTAAGTTGAAAGAGAAGCCCTAGAGTGGGCCCATTCCACAATTGTACTGAAGTAGTTTTGCCTAAGATGGGAGGCCCTATAACAATCAGAAAGATTATTTTTTGTGGTGAAATTTTAAATGTGTATCATTAAAATCTATTTACAAATGCCATAGATATACACTCTTCGGTATTTGAATATAGATACACAAGTATATTTGTATACTAAGTTTTGTCAAGATTCATCTATTGATGTAAGAGTATTCTTTGCTAATTTTATTTATATAGCTAATATAAGAAAAGAAAAAAAAAGTAATTCGTGGCATTTGGCCCCGGACGAAATGATACAAAATGTTCCTAGCCCCCAAGAATTTGATTCTGGAAAATGACGGATGTATCTGTCAATTTATGTTAAAGCCTTCCTGGAACACACAAACAAACACATTTTTCACTAGCCAATACATACGGCAGGTGTTGCCTGGGATTGCCTTCGAAACAACAACAACTTTTACAGCATTTTGATTAACATTAACATTGAGCACCATACAAAATCCACCTGATAGAAAGAAAAAATTATTACTTTTTCAAGTATAAAAACATATTTATTATATTTTTTTTAAAAAAATGTCTTTCCCTAATGGGATCCCAATTCAAAGAGATCCAAATTGGATCCCGTTATGCCGATTGGATAACAATCCCGGTTGAATCACGATCCCGGTAGGATCGAATTGCCCAATAGGAACCTGATCCCGTTTGTTATTTCAATCCCGGTGGGTTCACGATCTCGATCGGATACCGATCTCCATAGAATCCCGACCCCAGTTGAATCACGATCATAGTATGAACAAGTTTCGCGTAAGATCCCGATCCAGGTGATATATCAAAATCACAATAGGATCCGATACAAGTGGGATACCAAAAACCAGTGCTATCCCTATCCCTATTGGATGGAGGTTCTCGATAGGATTCTGATCCTGGTGGGATCCTTATCCTGTCGGTACCCAATCCAGGAGAAATTTCGTTCCTAGTGGATCCCGATACCGGTGGGATTAGATACAAGTTGGTGCTCGATCCCATTGGGATCCGCATCAAGTGTATGATCGAGATTCCAGAAAAAAATCAAGATACCATTGGGATCCCTACCCCGTTAGCATCACTATTCCGTTAGGATACCGTTTCCATTTGGATTCAGATCCCTCGGATTTTCAATCCCTCGATTTCAATTCCGTCGGGACCCCGATCCCGTCGGTAATCCGATCATGGTTGTATCTCAATCCATGAGGTTCCCGATAACGTTGGGATTCCGATATTGGTGTGTTCGCGATCGCGGTAGGATAGATTTTCCCGATGAGATACAGATCCTAATTGTATCCCGATGCCTTAGAATCCCGTTTCTCGGTGGGATCATCTTCTCAGATTTGATGCCTTTTCTCGATAATATCTCGATCCCGATATTATTCCATTAACCGATGGGATCGCGTCACGGTTTGGTTTAATTTTCTGTTGGATCTCGTTAATAGTACAATACGATTTTAGATCCAATTCTATATCTCCGTAGAACTATACAGAGCTTTCCGGAACATATTAAAATAATTATGCTCCTCGAAGGTGCAAAAATCACTTGTTTGCAAACAATTTTTTAATACGAAATATTTTACAACTAAATGCATGAATATAAATATAGCATATTAAAGTTTAACTTAGGGGCCGAAATGTGGGCCTATTCTATAATTTGTACCGAAATAGTTTTGCCTGAGATAGTTTGCCCCAAAAAATCAGTCAGTTAGATATGGAGTTAAAGTTTAAAATGTCCCATTAAAATCGGTTTAAAAATGCCGTAGAAAGCTTTTTAAATGTAATAAAATTCCTGGGAAAATTCTAGATTGGATATTATTAGTTTTAAATCCACCGTTATTACAATAAGTACAATGAAGCGTGTTGCCACACACCTAGGCCAAGATCCATCAATTCGCATAGAATCTAAAAGGTTTTCTAAACCTATTGATATTTATAAAGCATATATTTGGGAACAAGAAAATGGGTCCCCTGACCCCATGCGATTGGATATTATGAGTTCTTTACCCTTGATATTATATAATTGATAATCCAGTGTGTTTGTTCTAAGTTTGGTCAAGATCAATTTCTTAATGTAGGAGTATTTGTTGCTAAATTTATTTATGTAGCTGATATTAGAAAAACAATTCGGGGCCCCGAGCCCAAAAGGAATGTTATAAAATGTTCATAAGCCACAATATTTGATTCTGGATAATGGTAGACATTTGTGCCGAGTTCGTTCAAGATTCATCAATCAAAGTAAAAGCCTGTGTGGAACAAACAAACAAACACACCCACAAAGTTTCGCTTATATATATATACTAAGAAATATGTCCGGTGGATCCCAGGATTGCACTAGGAAAAGCAACAAATTCTAGAGCTTTAAATTAACATTTAAATTAAGGGCTATGTAAAAAAACAAAACCAACTATAGTAAATAAAACATTGCTTTGTCTCCTACAAGAGCACTTTGATAATAACTTTTGTGAATCTTTTATTTTCTGATGAAATCCCGATCCATGAGAGATCCCAATCGGATACAACTTCCTTATGTGATGCCGCTGTCCGATGTATCCCGGTACACAGAGGCATCCCAATCCTGTTGCAATCCCTATCCTAGTGAGATCAGGAACCCGGTGGGATCCTGATCTAGTTTGGATCCCTTTTCCGTCGGTGTCCTTATCCCATTGGGATCCCGAAAGAATCCCGATCCCTCTGGATAAGATTTTGGTATTACCCCGATCCCATTCATATTATGATCTCGTCCCGTTAGGATCCGGATACCATTGGGCTCCCGATTCAGATATGACCCCGATCCCGGTAGAAATATAATTTTCGCTAAGATCCCATTCCGGGTTATTTCCTATTACGTCGGTATCCCAAAAGAGGTGCGATCCTGATCCTGGTAAGTTCAAAATACCATTAAAATCGAGTTTCCATGAGGATCCCGATATGATTTCGACCCCGTAAATATCTTAATCCCATCGGTTACCCGTTACGTTTGAATCCCGATGCAAATGAGGTCCCGATACGGCAGGGATCCTGATACCGTTGGCCTCACGATCCTATCGATTTCTCAATGCCTTTGGGAACCCGACCCAGAATTGGTCTCGATCGCGGTGGGATCCCAATCCCCGTAAGATCGATGTTTCTGGTGGGATCCTCTTTTCTAATGGGATCCAGTTTCACCTAAGGATCCCGATTTGATCCCGGTACCCAATGGGATCGCGTTACAACTAAATTAATTTTAATGTTTGACCTCGTAAACATTTCATAACCTTCTAGATCCCACTATGTAACCCCGCAGAGGAATAAAGAAATGTCTGTAACATTCTAGATTATATTTAATATCCTCCTTAAAACGTGTAAACAATAATATTCTAAGTAATTATTTTTCGAACACGTAAAATCATACCAATAAATTTACTGATATAACTATATACATCTAAAGTTAAAGAGAAACCCTGGTGGAGGCCCATTCCATTATTACACCGATTTAGTTTTGGCTGAGATTGGGGGGGGGGGGGTGTGGTCAGTGATTATTAAAAAAATATTCAGACAAATATTAAAGTTAAAATTGATCCCATTAAAATCGGTTAGAAAATGTCATAGATATAGTTTTAAAAAAAAAAATATTATTAAACATTCTAACATATTCTAGATCGTTCCGAAAGGGATTGGATGTTATTAGTTTTAAATCAACCGCTATTTCAATACGGACTATAAAAATTATCTGCAAAAAAAGCTAAGTCTAGATCCTTCAATTCTCTTACAACCTGATGGCGTAAAGGCTGGAGATATTTACATATCTTAAATAAGGAAAAATGAAATGGAAAATAGATATTTTGAGTTCATTACCCTTCGGTATTAGAAAAAGGATAATTAAGCACAAAGTTGGTCAAAATCCATCAATTTATAGAGTATTTAATGCTAATTTTATTTATATAGCTGACTAGCGGATATACCCGGAGTAGCTTCACTTTAACATATATACTAGCAGGTATACCCATTATTAGCCGGGAAAGCATTCGAATAAAAGGAACTTCAACAGCTTTATAATTAACATTAAATGGAAGCACCCTTAAAAAAAAATATTTACTCAGCCCTAGTAAAAAAAACATGAGTAATAAATCTTTTGTCTTTTAAAGCACATTTATAATATTTTTGTAATCCTTTCAATCAAAGATAGCTTCCCAAGTAAGGAAGGAACCCAAACTGATCCGATTTTCCGATGATATCCCGTTTTCCAATGCATTCCGATTTCCTGAGGGTTCCTGAACTCGTTTGGATCTCAATCCCAGTTCCTTATGGTTTCTCAATACCTGTTGGATCCCGATCCTATTTGATCTCGATTACGTTGAAATCCCTAAAACTGTTGGTTCACGATCCTGTCGATATTAAGATCCCAGTGCAATCACGATTCCACAGGTACCTCTAACCCGGGGGGATTTCCGATCCCGTTGAGGTACCGATCCCTTTGAGTTCCTAATCCCTGTTGTAACATGATCCCGGTAGAATTACAATACCTTTGCATTCCAAATCTTGTGGGTTCCTGATTACATAGGATCCCTTTTCTCCGTGTAGCCCCGATTCCGGTATATCATAATCTCAATGTGCTTCCTTTTCCCGGTGGGATCGCAATACTGGTCGGATCCTGTTCTCGCTGGTTTCCCGTTTTCCGGTGGAATCCTGATTCGGGTGGGATCGTTTTCAGGTGTTATCCCGATCCCGTTCTCTGTGGGATCCCTTTTTTGTTTGGTTCCACAGCTCCGATTGGATACCGTTTGCCCCATTTGATCAAGTGTTTCTATGGGATCGAAATACCGGTGCGTTTCAGTTTACTCAGAACCCTTTAGGATCCTGTAATCGGTGTGACTATAAAGGGTAAATTCGTAGAAATCCTAATGAAGTATAGAAATGAAGAGAAATAATATAACATTGCATTAAGGGTTTAGATCCCATTATATATCAGCCTAATGCAGTCTATAACTCTCTGGAACATTCTAGATTCAAATTAATATCCGCCTAAAAAATGTGTAAAAGTGATGCTTTTCTACTTAATTATTTTTCAAATCCGAAATATTATACAACAAAATGCACTACTTTAACTACATTAATTTTGCATTTAAAAAAGGGGGCGGCGGTGGGGGGGGGGAGGGCATCCTTAACTGTACCAATTAAAATTTGCCTAGAATAAGGGGATCCAATATATATAAGTTGGACAAATATTAAATTGAAAACTTGTCCCATTAAAATCGGTCTCGTAATGCCATAAATACAGCCTTTCTAAAATATCGGACCTCCTGGAAAAGTCTAGATTGGCCGCTTAATGGATTGGAGATCATTTTAAATCCAGCGGTTTTACACTTATGATTACGAAGGCTTTTTCGACGAAGCTAGTAATAGATCCATCAATTCACATAGAGCATGTTGCGTTTTCTAAGCTTATTGATATTTATATAGCTTAAAGAAGGACACATTAAATGGGGCACCAGAGGAATGGATATTATGAGTTCAGTACCCTAAGGTATTTTAATATGGATAATCAATTGTATGTGTACTGAGCTTTCTCAATATCCAACAACCATGTAGGAGCACTTATAGGTCATTTTATTTATATATTTTATGTAAGGAAAAAAAAACCCACGGATTCAGACCCCGGCCCCAAACGGAATGTTATAAAAAATGTATACTACCTTAAGAGTTCCTTCCGGTTAATGGTAGATATGTTTTCCAAGTTTCGTCGACATCCATGAATCAATGTAAAAGCCTTTGTTGAATTAATAAACCAACACTTCAACTTTTGAAAAATTAAAAATGTATATACAAATATATATATATATATATATATATATGTTATATGATATGACATGATATGATATACATGTCTATATCCCCTCTTTTAGGTTTACCCAGAACATGCAAGGGTTCAGCTCCCAATCTAAAAATGGTTGCCTCACTTCACAGCAAACTTTCATTGCCTTTCTGCATCATTGCCGACACGCATCGGTTCATCGAAGTCAAGTTTTACATCAACGGGCAGCAGGTGAAGCTCACCGACTCCCACGCCAAGTATAGATTTGACTTTGAGAGGAACGAGCCGTCCACAATTCACTTCACCATCCACTTAATTCTCCTTAACGTGATGACAGCAGATTACAAAACCTACAACCTGACGGGGACCGCAGGAAAAGGTTACGATATACATTTGACGGTTCAGCTCGATGGTGTGGGTATGAATTCCTCGTACCTCCTTTCGCTTACAAATTACTCTCAAATACATACAGCACACAATGAACAAGGATAAAAAGTGCGTGAAAATGAAATACCCAATCTTAAGCAATAATTTTACATTTTTAAGACATAATACAAATTTTACAATTTTCGCTTTAAGGCCATCTGTATGTTTCATAACCAAGTTATGGATCTGTTTTGCCCTCATTTATTTTCACATATTATGCTGATATTTACTACAAAATCATAACATACTTTACTTATCAATTCTGTTATTGTTCAGTGGTCTTTGCTTATCAAGGCTTTTTGTGGACTCATCTGTTGTTTCTTTTTAAAGTTTCTTTTTACGGATTAGACCTTCTTTCTGTAAAAAACAAACAAAAAAACAACAATCATTCTTTTCACAAAACTTATTGAAGACGCCCCTACCCCCTCAATATTACCATAGCATTGTCACATATTATCTTCTTTATCATAAACATACGAATACCAAAAAAATATTTGTAGAAGATCTTAAATGTACAGGTATAGTGTGAGCCATTTTTTGTGACTTTTATGAACAGGTAAACCGTGTCCAGAAGGATGGTGTGAGACAGAGCAAAGAAAATGCCTATATCTTATGCAGACTGGCAATGACAACAAAAAATTCAAATGGCGATGTGAACATGGAGGCGGGACTTTGTTCAACGGGACAATAAGTCAGGCGACACAGTATAGCGACAGTATGTAGAGCTAATATGTATATATACGTATGTATATATATATACATATATATATATGTATATATATATATAAATATATTTATATGTATATATATATAAATATATATATATATAAATATAAATATATATATCTATATCTCTCTCTCTTTTTCTAGACAGAACGATAGATAGATAGATAGATAGATAGATAGATAGATAGATAGATAGATAGATAGATAGATAGATAGATAGATAGATAGATAGATAGATAGATAGATAGATAGATAGATAGATAGATAGATCGATAGATCGATAGATCGATAGATAGATAGATCGATAGATCGATAGATAGATAGATCGATAGATCGATAGATCGATAGATAGATAGATAGACACCTTCTTTAGGTTAAGATTTAAAATTTAAAAAAAAAAAATTAAATATTTTTAATGCAAACAAAAAAAATATAAAAAATCGGAATAAATACAATTTTTTGCCAATTTTTTTTTTTTTGTTTTTTGTTTGTTTGTTTGTCCTTTCCTTAATTTTATTGCCAAAAGAAAATAAATAAATAGTCAAAAATTTTTTTTTTCACAATGTATCTACGCTTTCATTTCAACTTTAAAAATAGTGTAAGCTATTATTAACAAACAATAACTAAATTCGTCTTTAACATCTTTATCATTCCTGAAATGTTTCAGGCTTGTTGGCAAACACAAATAGAAAAGACCACATAGTTGTATACGAAGATAATCAAACTTGCAATGTCTACAACTGGGCAAATTATACAGGGAAAGACATTGCGGATTTCACTTCAACTTCTGAGTTCCATATCGCCTGTCATCTTCCTTATTGGTGTAAGACTTTTGAAAAAAAGTTTACCTTAAAATATTTAACCTAAGTGTGTTAAGCCCTCTCAGTGTTTCAGCTTGTGAAATATTTCAACCTGAAGCTAATCAACATATATATATATATATATATATATATATATATATTATGATAAATTAACAGCTTGACCAAATAATATAAAGCTTTTTTGAAAAATGTGTATATTATCAATTCATGGATTTGGCATATAATTCAAACTTTAATAGATTCCTTAACAAAAGAAACGAGAAAATGTTTAACACCTGTTTAAATTACTGTACATGCATATGAGTATTTTATATTTAATTTTTATAGGTAACATGATTTCCACTCTGAATGATATTAATTACAATTGCCTATGACATAATATGAGGCAATATTCGTTGTTTTACAAGTATTTTGAGGTGATTAAAGGAAATTTTTGACATAATTTTTTGATTTAAGTTTATGTTTTATTAAAATTTTTGGACTTTTAATTTTATACCATTTAAGTCCTAAAAAGTTTACACAGCTATAAATAACGCCAGTTATTTCTGCATTTGCTTTTCTCTTCAGCTGAAGTAGGAACAATTATTCAGGAACCTATCGACCCAATGGTATCTACAGAGAGTTCAAGTGATAATAAAATAAACGTGTACGTGTCTATTGGGGCTACGCTTGGAATTGTCCTCTTTGGAAGTTTTTGCGGAGTGTTATGCTATAGAAAAAGAGGTAAGAATGCAAAAAGGAAATGTAGTTAGCAGCTAAATTTTACCGGTGAGATTAGTCAAACAAAGTTACGTTATATTTGAGTTAGTGTGTACTGGGGCGGATCAAGATACTTGCTACCCCCACCCCACACCTGAAAAAATTTCCCGTTTAACCGAAAAGGCCTACTCTTAATACAATAAAGGTGGAAATGGATTATGACCTATGTTAAAATAATAAAATGAAACCTCAACATATGTATGTTGTAAATGAAATAATGTTGAATTAAATGAGAAAACTGTGCTATATAAAAAGAACAAAATATTTACTCGCTAAATACGATAACTCTAATAAGCAATGATACAAAGAGAAATGTGTATGTTTTATTTCTAAATTATCATATAAAAGGAAGAAAAAAAAGACAAGATTATACAATGGGTTAAAACAAATCTCTCGTATAAATATTTTTTTTGCACTAATTGTCAAATCAGGGAGTTCATTGATAGTTGTTGCGACTTAACATTATGTTCATTTCGCGCCTTGTTTGTTTGAGGGTTATTACTAGTTAGTAAACGCTACTCCCGAGCTTTACTAAGTGACGTAATTTTATGGGGATTGTGACGCATTGTCTAGACAATATTGTGACGTCAGCTTTAGTTGTGCGGCTGTATTGAGTGGAACTTTGTTGAAGTAGGGTGTGTTTTATCAAAAGATTATGTCTGATAGTCAGCTGCACTAAATTCATGTGTTGTTATCTAGAGTATATACTTGGATATCAAAGTTATAATTATCAAGAAAAAGACTTGAGTTTATTAAGTAAGTAAGAATGGTACGAAGTATTCAACGTGTGAAAGAACTTGACGAGTTAATCAATCCAATTAGACAAAGGAGTTGATAGTAATCCCTTGACAAGAGTATGTTTTATCTACAGCAGCCACATTAACAATATCTCAGTCACATGATATATAAATTACTACTTTAGGGATATATGCAACATTATTTCATGCAACATGAATTACTTATGTTTTCTGTAGTAATAACGTATAGTGTTGAAATGTAAAACAAGTTATTAATTAGTAAAATTCACACAGAAAAAGGAGCTTAGTATAGTAATAGAAACTTTTTTCTATAATTTCTAAAGTTTCGATATTTCTTTTCAGGTCATTTCAAGAAATCAAAAAATTTGAAGTCAAGGTACAGATTAACTTTTACATTTTTTTCTTCTTCTTTAGTTTATATATTAAATAATGATTCTAGTTTTGAAGAAAATTGCATATATTATAAACATGTATTTAAGTACTTGATTTGAAATATATAATTGTTAAATAATTATGAATATTTTTCTGGTATCAATCCCATTTGAAGGTTGTTGGAATCGTCCTCTACAACTGATGCAGGTAATTTTTTGATTTGTATTCATTGCATAAAAAAAAAAATGAAACGTTTATAATTTTAAAAAGAGAAAAAAAAATCTTATGTGGATATTTAGGAGTTCATTTTTGTTTGCTTTTCACAAATTGCAATGAGTTTATTATCACAAAGTTAAAGCATTTCCTATGCAAAACAATTTTCAGCTTGCTTTCAAAAAGTTGACCGAGAGAGTATTTATCACACACTGGAAGAGGCTGATGTAGCAACGAACAGAGACACTGACAATAGACACGATTATGATCTGGCATTAAATGAACAAGGCCTCGAGGATTTCATGTCACCTCATATTCAACGTGAAAGCATTAAACCTCTTCCACCGCCAAGACCACCTGAGAAGAGCAAATTGGGCAACAAATGCTTAGACGTGTCAGTGTATGATGTGTGTGTTGAGCAGTGCACTGGCCAACCTGTCATGAACATCGCTGATTCAACTAGCCATAATATATTAAGCATTAAGGAATTGGATAATAGCCTTATAGAAAACGATTTTGATCTGCTATGCGTTGATAAAGGCAACACTATTTTATTCGAAAAAACGTTAAGAAATCAAAATGACAACACAGAAAGCTCTGAAATAAATACAAACCCTTTCACATTAATTGATTTGAAAAACGATACAGCTGACTATAGCACACCACTCGCAACCAAAGAGGAGCATCAGTACTCTGGTTATGTCAAGGAATCGAAAAGTAAAGACGAGGAATCATTACAGACTCTCAAAGCCACAGATGCATATACGATCATGATACGCAAGGAAGACACTTGCCAGGATCTAGACGATAAAACTGTGGGCAATTCAATAAAACAATTGAAAGAAAACAACATGTCACAAGCCAGTGGTATGGATAGTGATTCCTCGAAAAATGAAAACAGGAAGACTTTGACGCTTGATTCGGAAGACACTGAAGCATATCAAGGGGGCTACAGCTTACCATTAAAACGTAGTGATGATCACTTTTATGCTGTTTTCGCACGAGATGAGAGCAATGGTATTTCTTCCATTAAAGAAAAAGATCACAATGCATACCATGTTCAGGAAGAGGAACATACAAAGGATCTAACAGACAAACAATACGTTGCATGTAATTGTAAAAACGGAAAATATGCGGTTGAGAAATCTAGAGTATCGTATGTTGATTTGACGGATCAAGCTAAAAATTCTGACCATGAAAATTATACTTCGCCGCTAAGTAATTTCGTTCATGAAAAAGACTGTTTTATGAAAGGGAATAGTTCTAACAAATCTAAAGAAGGCGACGTCTTAAAATGTAATCCTAATGTTTTAGGAGGGAAGTTAATTTCATCAAATGGCACGAAAGTTGAATTCAAAGAGTACACAACACTATTTGATTCCGAAACATATCCTGTAATGTTTAATGGAAACGACATAGCGACAGAACCAGGTGGTGTCAATGATGAGAACTGGTATCTTCAATTCGATGGTGCACAGTGTGAGTATGGCAGTCAAATGAGACCAGGATGTGAAAGCAATAAAGAATACATGACATGGGACGGTGGAGATGGGAGCACCACAGTTGACGTTCCAAGCAATAAAAAACCTGTCTTTGCCTTTAGTAGCGGAGAAGTTGCGTTGCATGTGAACTCAAAAGAATCTGAAACGTTAACTAATCAAGGCAGTGAAAATATCAAGGTGGGTAACTCTGAACTACAAGAAGACTTCCTGGTCTATTGGACACCTGATGGCTCCAAGAAAACGGTTTTAGAGCCAGCCAATCCAACATTGGCTGATGAATATTGTGAACCTTATGAAATTTAAAGATTGATTGATTTTTAGGTTCAATGCTAAAAAAAAGTTATGTAAATTAATTTTAGGGATTGAAATAAAAAGAGAAAAAAACTTTCACAATGACCAGGGCAAAAGTTAAAAACAACAACGTAATAGATTATTAGAAAGTTTCTATTTATAGCGCTTACTAATAGATACCGACAGTCATTTCTTTAAATGTAAATGTATCAAACACCATTAATAATTTAAAAAGATATATTACCAAGTCCAATCTGCAGAACGAACAATCTGGTAACATTGAAATATTCGGTATCTTAGATGTAACCAGACATTTGTTGGAGGTTGGCTGCCACATGAAGTTTGTGGTGCTTCTATAAGAAACATACTGTACGATTTAAAAGTGATCCTTATTTCTTTAAATATTTGTTCTTAGCATTATTATCTTATATAACGATATTTCAAAAGAACAAGCTTTACGTAAAATAATTTTTATAAAAATATTTCAGAAAATGACAATAATGCATTTATTATTTTCTTTGTATTTATTATATATACATTGCATATATATACTTAAGATCTATTCAAGACTTATAAGTTAAATTCCATGATTAATTCGTTGTTGGTGACTTTTTTCAAATTTCAACACATTGTTAAACTTTTTTTTTTAATTTTTACAATGGAGTTTTTGTATTTGTATTAAAGCCCATGTCTTTTGTCATGTATTTAAATTTATTTCCTAATGATTAAAAAAATTTCTTATGGTCATGAGGCAAGATTTATAATGTGTAAGCAAGGTTAACATATGTTTTCAAACTGAAAGAAGACATTCAAAACAAATTAATTTTTGGAAATGGGAGGAAAAAATTGAATTATTATCATTTTAACCGTTTGATTAGAATATTTGACTGTATTCTGTTTTTCTAGCTTAGGAACAATTCAAATGAAACTTACGCAGCGATATCAAAGACTATATAACGAACAGTTTGCTTAGTTTACTTTTCTTGCCAATCAATAAAACTTCCCAAAAAAAAAAAAAAAAAAAGAATTATTCTGTTTTGTTTCATGCAAAAAAAACCTATTTTAGTAGAATTTGTATTGAATTTATTCAAAATATGGAACAAACTTTTCCAATCCTTTTGTGTCATTGTCATATTTTACAGAAGCTTAGTTTTCGCAAAACATTTCAAAGATGCATATTGAACCACGGCCCAAAGCATCAAAACCATATAAAATAAATGGATGATATCAAACTATGTTGTTTTTTTTTTATTCTTTGATAAATGTACTTTAAGCCAATGTAATCACGTTTAATAGATTCATTCTATTAAAATGTTTATACAAAATAAAAATAAAAGATATATATATATATATATATGTATATATATTTAAAATTATCTTTAATAAAAAATTAATAATATGGCCGAATGTTTATTTCAAATTTTGATCCAGACACACTGGAAGTATATTCTGGGTTAATTTACTGGACTACTGAGATCCACGATGGGTATACTGGAGGGATAAATTTTACTGATATACTGGACGGTTAAATTGGGTGGATAAACTGTACGGATATACTGATGGGATATACTGTATTACTATTTTGGACAAATAGTCTGGACGGATATACTGGAAGGATGTACTGGACGGATATACCAGACGAATATTATGGACGGATATAGAATGCGAGGATATAGTGGCCGGATATACAGGACCGATATACGGGACGGATATACTGAACAGATATACTGGACGGATTTACTGCAAGGATACACTGGACTGATATGCTGATTGATATACTTGGGAGTTATACTTGATGAATATACTTGACGAATATACGCGACGGATATACTGGACATATATAAATGATATATATACTGAAAGGAAATACCGCACGTATGTTCTGGATGCATATACTGGACGGATCAACTGGAAGAATTTTTTGCTAATTTAAGGAGCGATCAAAGAGGTGAAATCTTCATACAATTTTATAGAAGGACTTTTAGAATTGTACATAATTTCTCAACCAAACATCTGAGAGAAGAGGTGATATTTGTCGACAATAAAATTTTTTTTAAAAAACCAAACAAACCAACAAACAAAATTAAGAAATACAATTTTTTTTTCAATAGAAAGCGATCACTGTAGAATAGTTTACTATTGTTTAATATATTACTTGAAAATTACAAATACGTAATTACCCAGGAACAGACTTATCATATTAAAATCAATGTACTGTGTTAATGAATGGATTGTGTTTCTAAATATAGGTTTCATGTTGTTCTGTATTGGCTTCTACAAAAGTTATCCAGCCGAACCTTCCTTCCTTTTTTAAAATGTTCGTTTATTTTCATTTCAAGCCAAAACATAGCTTGTTACATTTGTTCCCTCGCAATTTTAGAACGCAGTCCGTTATATATTTCAGTTAATAGTTAATTATTGTGTAGGATATAATTGTTTATGTATTCTTTAAACACATCATACCATCAAACTTTTGTTCATGTTTCCTCTTTCTTCCTGTTTTTTTTTTTCTTTTGCCTGCGATGGTGGTTCGCCCCCCCCCCTTTTTTTTTTTTTTTTTTTTTGTTTTTGTTTT